AGTAGTTCTGATGCTGGACTTGGAGAACTAAAGCCTCTTTCTCTGCCTGTTTTTCAGGACTCTCATTCCACTCCTCGACCCAGACTCTGGCCTGCTGGTGTTGTCAGCAAAGGTGCGTGAGTCTCTTCCCAAGCTCGCTGCTTTCTACAGTCTCGAAATTCACTCTCCTCAGGCACTGTCTGAGCGGTTCAGGCCCGAACGAGAGTGTTCGCTTCTCCTGGTTTGTACGTGGGGGTCAACCCTTGCTGTCATTTTACTGAACGATTTTACATGTTCTCACCCTGTCACTCAATCACTCTCTGGTTGTTTTTTGTTTGGACATCGCTCTGCAAACAACCTCAAATCAGAATTTCACAGAGAAATTACATCGAATTGCCACCACCAATGGGGTGACAACGAATTAGCTTATTTTATGGCTCACAAGCCTTTACTGTACATTGGAGCAGTTCCCTCCTTCCTGTGACCTACAGAACTACACTGCAACCATTTAATTTATGGCCTCCATTTAGTTTAGCGTCTAAGACCACAGTTTCCCAGGTTTTGGGTGGAACATCTCACCTTCACAGTACTCTAGGGTGTTAAGGTGAGTTTATGGTCATTGTGTTCTGCCTCCTTGCGAAAACAGGCTGTTTCTACTGTGCTGTTTATTCACTATCATGTTATAGGCCAGGGTGGTCCTGGAAAGTCATGATCCAGCAGGATTGATGGGTCCCTCTCCAAATAGAGTGCCTCGTACGAATTCCCTTTCCCCTCTTAAGCAGGTGATGTGCTCAATGAAGTAGCTTGCAGATCTTTTGATATGCACATCCTAACACCCTGTGGCACTCAACGTCCTCTTCTTGATGGTAACCAAGAAAGACGGTTTTGTGTCTCTGCACAATCAGGGCTGGCCACCCTTATTATGGGCAGCTCAGAGAGCACCCACGGGAGATTATCAGGCGGCTCAGTGCTTCTCCTGGGATCTTGGATCCGGGAATTTGAAACGGCCAGGGCGGTCGAAGTCGAACACATCCTGCTCAGATGTTTCTCGGGCCCCGGTTGGTCCAGCGATGATTCAGTGTGTTTTGAAGCCGTCGCATGATTCAGCTGCTCCACTGTGGTCGGGTAGTTTGTTCCAAGTGCCCACGATTGATGCTGGAGAAGGTCACTGCTATGACGACATCATCTGGAAGACCTCCAGCAGTGACACAACAGCCCCCCGCCCAAACTCTCCAGGAGCCTGCTTCTCCCAAGCTTTACTACCGAGAGAAGTCGGTTTGGAATAAACTGATTGGTTTGCGAAATGTAGCTAATCTGGATTTTCCCACGGTTCCCAGATTTATGTTAAGTTTTTCAGTTGCCTCCCTTTGCCACGGACTTAGCGATCGATGCTACATGCGACAGGTTTGGTGTTCGCACTACTGTGGTGGACAAATTGCTCAGCTGTTGCTCATAAAGCCTTTGCCAGCTCTGGAAAAACAAGCCAGTGTCTGCACTGATGCATCTACTGTGTATGGCGTGATCTCATCCAGATCCCCCCACTGACTGATCAGAGATGCTCCTTGCCTCCTGTTATTAACATTCTGTGACACAGGGCAGATCTCATCCATTTCAAATGCCCCTCTGCAGTGTTTACGATACTATTTCTTACTTTATTACACTTCACTTTGCCAGCAGTTTGAGATCCCAGATCAACGCTTGCTTTAATTGTCTGCCAAATAAATTCTGTCTCTCATGAGGAAAAGTCTTTTCTGTACTGAATTAGAAGTTACTCAGATTTAATAAGAAAAAGACTTGCTTACATGCCCTGAACACTTTGGATCTGATTTTCCATTCATTATGCAAAGGGCTGTTTGCCCAAGAATAAAAATGAGAACCATAGTATGTTAATTAGGAGAAACAAACACAGCGCTTGTTTAGTGGTTAAATACAGAATAGTCATTAGTACTGACCTGTTGTCATAATATTGTTGCCTAATGCTTAAAGAAAGTGTGGTGTGAAAATGTGGTTATGCTTTTTTGTTGTGGTATTCATGTTTAGTAGTCCGAAAAGAATGACAAATGATGTCTAATGAGACCATGCTAACAGCAAAAAGGATAAGGCCTTTGTTAAATCTTAACATCATTTATGATGGCATTAAATCAATCTTGTGGATCGTGTTAACAAAAAAACCCAATATGTTAAAAACTGTTAACAGAAAAATAGTTAAAACTGGTAACAAAAAACATATATTCAACAGTCATCCCAAAATAACACAAATCGATATGTAAACCAACAAAGCTGTACAAAAACGTTTCATACATTATGTCAGCTTTTCATACTGTAATTAATTTCAAGCAGAGTGCAAAAATGATGAACTTGGTTCATGGTTCATGAACTTGGTTCATGGCTTGGTTGCTGACTGGGGGTCCCAGAGGAAGTGAGACACACCAGGGATGGTCAGAGCTAAATGTCCTGCAGCTTGTTTGTTTGGCTTTAATTGAATTAAATTGGCGACATCCTGTATCTTAAACGGTGTCTCATGGCTGGCATGTGCAAGAGGATGTTTTTCTGTGCTTGGAGCTGATGAGGGCTCTGATGTGGCTCTTCCCCAGGGTGACAGTGTTATCCACTGCTTCGAGGTGACCACTGCCCAGCCCTTCCTCGCTCAAGGTGAGCCTCCAGTGGATTCATTAACCATGTGCCTAGTAAAGCAATCCGACTGTTTCTCAGCTTTTTTCCTTCCTCCCAATATCTTTGAGCTTCTTAGCCTTTTAACAGTAAAATTTACATCTTGCTCACACTGTCTCTTTCTCGGTGCCTCAGCTTGGCCTCTCAGTCTCTCAGCTCTCTCTCTCACTCAGTCCCTCAAACCTGCATCTCTCAGTCTCTCAGCTCTGCCTCTCTCAGTCCCTCAACTCTGCCTCTCTCAGTCCATCAGCTCTGTTTTAACAATTTAATTGTTTTAATCCTAATGTCCTAGGATTAAAGGGATGACAGTAAGCCTCAATGCCCACTCCTCTCTCTCCTTTCACAGTGAGCCAGTGCCTGACTGAAGCCCCCACAAAGGGAATCGCCATGGTACCCAAGCTGGCTCTTGATGTCATTTCCTGTGAGGTGCTGCGAGTCTTACAGCTGACTGACAGCTTCATCGTGCCTGTGAGCTACCATGTCCCCCGCAAGGTGAGCACAGTAGCTCCTCTTCCTCCCAGACGGGAAAATCTGGTGGAGCTGGTGGAAGAGTTTCCATAGGTCCCACTATCACCCCATGTACTCCTCAAACCCTGAGGAGAGCTGACAAGGGCAACCCAAGCAAAAACTTCAAACCCGATAAGGCAACCAGGACATTACGTGCAAGTGTCAGAACATAGGAAGCACGCGAGGAGATCAAGAAAATGCTCATTTATTTCTGTTCTTAAGAAACTTAATTTTTTTATTCTCCTGTTTGAGAGACGGCCATTGGAAACATCGGGTTCATCCATTTGCTTGTACTTTATTAATCCAGGAATTTCATCAGCTCGTTTTGCAAAGGATGCTAGGACACCAGCTTCCACTCTGTGGCTTGGCAGCGTCTTCCAGACACCCACAGCCCTGCCGGGCTGAGAAGGGCCTCCCGTTCTCAGACAGAACTCTCCTTAATTTCCATCTGTGTTCCTTGGCCGACCTCCCTTTGCACACAAAGACATAGAACAAATTACCTTGGTCTGCTTGGTAGATCATTAGAGCTGATTAGATTTGAGTTAAAAGGCTGTTTTTCTGTGGCTTTTGCTTTTATTTGAAAATCGAGGAGAACTGCACAACTTTCCGTTCCTATTTTCTCAAAGGATGTTTATCTACAGAATAGATTGTTAATCGTTTTCCCACTGTGGGAATAAAACAGCAGTGTGGTTACTGTCTGCTGACGGGTACTGTATAAATAACACCTACACAGAGCAACATGCAGTCTAGAGTTAACCCAGAGACGTTCTGTGTGCTTGCTGTCTTTTGTAGTATAGCCTTTGACATAGATCTGTAGGAAACACTGTCATTCCTGCGAAAGAGAGTGAAAAGGAGCCCCCAGTAACATGCCTTGTGTGTATTTCAGTCTGGACAGGACTTCCATGAAGATCTGTACCCCGACACTCTGGGACAGACCCCTGCCATGACAGCGCAGGGGTGGTGGACTGGAGAGAACAAACAGGTACTCAGACCTTCAGCTCACCCACAGGTTCCTCAGCAAACCTCGGTTGTAATTGTTCAGCTGACACTGATCTTCACTCACCTGCTCTCTAAATACAAGACGGCATTAGAGAACACGAGTGAAAGAGGACATGCAAGCCCAGCACCAAACCTACATGTGGTTTGAAAAGGAAGATGTGTTATTTCCTTACTTTGTTGTAAACCCAGACCAGTGTGACCTGTCTTGCATATGACTGACACCTCAAGGAGAGATTCAGGATCTCCAGCCACCTGGAGCGCCCCTATCCAGAAGGTTTTGTAGATCACTGTTGAATAAATTGCCATACAGTATATATATAGATAGATATGTTAATCCATATACCAGGATGACAGATTTATGTTATCATTTTATTCAAAGGAATCTGGTGTTTAAATAGAGGTAACTGATCAGAAGGACTTTTTCTATGATGTTTATGTCACTGTGCTCCCGCAGAACAAACCAGCTAGATGTGGGGCTTCAAGACACTCTTGTGGAGCGATGAAAGCATGATAGGCAAGCTTGGGTCTTCTATTGCAGTGCAGGACTTTGATGTGATCCTTAGCACCACTAAAGAAGACAGTACAGTAGAAGTTAGGTAATTAAAGCATTGGTTGGATTTCATTCTTATAGTGGGGCAGCAGCAGTCGAGATGGCATATTACTCAGTGAAAGGGCCAGCAGGGGACTGAGACCCGCAGAGCAGGCAGTAATCATCCTCTTAGTACAACCCCTGCACTCTCCTGCTCTATCCCTTCCCCGCCTGCAGGTGGCGAAGGTGAGCCTCCACCCGGCCAAGCGCCCGCTCAAGAGAAGCGCGATTCCCAGCTCAGAGGGCACTGCCAGGTCAGGGCCCGCCAGTCAGCCCGCGAAGAAGGACCTGCCCATAGCAAAGAGCCAAGAGGTGGGAAACCTTTATTTTTTCAATCAAAAAAGCAAAATAAAGTATAGGGTGATTTCCTGTTTCAAACACGAGAGTACATAATGACAGCTGAGTTTCCTTCTGTCTAGAAGTTACATTTCAAGATTTCAGAAGCCCGTTTGAAAATCAATGTGGCTAGAATCTTATTTATCAAGCTGTTGGCAGGACTTGTTGTTTTAGGTCTGCAATTCAAAAGAAACATTGAAAGAGCTGGAGGTCTCTATGAGCTCGATCTGTGGCATTGTAGGACCGCCGTCTCTGTGGCGGAGATGTGCTGGGTGTGACAGGACCAGTGTGCCGTGTGCCGTGTGGCGTGTGCCGACCAGTGCGTGCTGACCCTGTTCTCTGTCTCAGGAGGATGCGGCTGGCCTCTCTTCGTCTAGCAGCTCCCTGACCAGTCCCAGCAGCCCCGGCAGCGTGGGCCAGTCTCCCTCGACCACCAGCCTGTCCAGTGGCTTCGTCAACAGCCCCAGCCAGCGCTCACTGCAGAGCATTCTGGGTACGCCTTCACCTGTGGTAGCCTGACTCTGCAAGACATTCTTGTTAAACTGGTGCTCGTTTATTTGCCTGGAGCTTTTTTCCCCGAGCGACTTTCATTCATGCCCAATTGAACCGCAGGATGTTCTAGAGGAGCAATTTGAGTGACGCCCCATGGTCAACAGTACAAGAGCTGTGCCCCAGATGGGATTTGAGCCCACAACCTTCCTGTAATAATTCCACTAACCCACATGGCTGCCCTTTACATTGCAGTTACAGACAGTTTGTCTCTTAGGATCTTAGAGTGTTAGTCAATCTGCACAGAAATAATGCTCTGGATAATCCCTTGCTGGATTATGGAGGCCTTGTCCTTTAATCTCCTCAAATGCACTGGGAATGAGAATGTGTCCTCCCAGTCCTCTTTATCCATACAGGGTGCCTTCCTGAGCTCTCTGTGGATAATGAAATGTACTATACTGTATATAAATATAAATATACTGAGAAAAAGCTGTCCTGTACCAAAAATGCCATGAGCCTACCTAATACAGCGTGCGCGTCCATGTAAATATGCCAAATAACAAAAGAACGTGACAGAACCAGTACAGTACTGCGCAGTTTTCCACTATGAAAAGGAGTTTTGTCAAATTGAATGTAAGACTCCTGTCCTCACGGTTATGGGGAGGTGAAACAGGGGAGATGCGATGGGTAACACACAAGAAACGCGTGCGCGGGAAGCCTCTGGGACATTGGGAATGTTCTAGAAACCTCGAGAGCGCCTCTCAGGAGCGTTCCCACAGCGAGTCCCTGTTTGCTCCCCCCTCTCCTTGCCCCAGGCCCCAGCTCCAAGTTCCGGCACGCCCAGGGCACCGTGCTGCACCGCGACACCCACGTCACCAACCTCAAGGGCCTGAGCCTCACCACGCCGGGGGAGTGCGACGGCTTCTGCGCCAACCGGGAGCGCGTGGCGGTGCCGCTGGCCATCGCCGGGGGGCAGATCGCTGTGTTCGAGGTACCACCACCACCGGTGCGAGGGGCGGCAGGAGACGCCGTGTGTCTAACAGACCCTCGACAGCAAGCGGCTCAGCTCCAGGGAGCACCTGCTTTCAAAGAGCTCGTTGAAAAACGAACCTTGGGTGGAAAGTTAGATATTTAATGAGGAATTATTTGAAAGAGCAGTGATAATTCGTACCCGTGATAGTGTTTCCGGCTGGAGGACGGGGAGGAAGAAAACGAATTTGCTAGGACATGGAAGCCGTTCAATGCTGTCAAAGCCTGGTGCCCGTCTTCTCTATTTCAGCGGGTTTCTGTGTATTCTGAGTTCTAAGGGGACAGACTGCTGGCAGACAGTCGTGAAAGTGCACCAGTTTTTTTAAGTCAAATGAACTCATTAACTGGAGTTCGTGAGTCTGCCAAGACTCTGTAGCGAGTCTGGGAGGGAGGTTGTTTGGCTTTGGCCCCCAGGTAGAAACCCAGTCCTGTCTTGACCCTCCACACAGCTGTCGCAGCCCGGACGCCTGCCCGACACCTCCTTTCCCACCATCCAGAACACCTCAGCGGTGGCCGACCTCTGCTGGGACCCCTTCAACGCCTGCAGGCTGGCCGTGGGTAAGGCTCTGCCTCTCTCCCGCTCCTGGGACTGGCCCGACCTCAGCTGTCCACTCCTAAGCATTGGCAGAGTGTGCCACATTCGTAGTCCTGCGTTTTACCAGGTCAGTCAGTTGGGAACAAATTCTCATCTGCGGTGATGATCTGGAGACCCACTCATACACTCATACTCATACATTTCCTGGAGCTACCTGAGTGAAGTACCTTTGCTCAGGAATACAACAGCTGTGTCCCTCCTGGGATTTGAACCCACAACCCTCCGATCCAGAGCCCTAAGCACTGCTCCACACTGCTGCTATTATATGTTTTTATATAATTGTGCAGTTTCCATATAATCATACTTTACCTGCTCACAAAACTAGCTTCCTTTTTTACAGGTGTTTTGCTACCTCAAACTACAGGAGCAACTCACCCAGTCAAATGCAAGGGTGACGATTGTTCAACGTACTCAGCACATTTAGGGATAAAATATTTTAGATGTTTTCCTTGGGTTTTCGACAATCCAGCTTTAACATCAGAAGCGGTGCTGACCAAATATCAAAACACTATTTAGACAATCTGGGAGCGTTTGTATTTTCTCTGCCGCCATGTTTTCTCGGACTCAGTGACCTGTGACTGTATCTCTTTCTCTGGCAGCGGGTGAAGACGCCAAGATCAGGGTGTGGCTGGTGCCCAAGGGAGGTCTGACGGAGACCCTGACAGAGCCGGAGCGTATTCTCCAGGGTAGGGCACGGGTAGCTCGACGTCTTTATTGGGGGGAAATCCCAAACCATCAAAGTCCGCCTCAGCATCAAAGCGAATGGACGAAAATAGTAGCATACACATCGTTTGGAGTGAGATCTTTCGTATCGTGTGAAAGGATTATCTGTTTTGGATTGGCAGAGGATAAATTGGAAGTTTCATGAGCCTACAAGATGAGATAATATAACCTGCCTTCTTCTCTAGAGAATAACACCTGCTGGGCACTTCTTTCCCTCTGTGAAATACCGATTCTCAAAACAACTTGTTAATCAAAGAGAGAAACAGGCTATTTCCAGAAATCTACGAGTGATACCATTCTATAATTTTCTGCTGCGGTAAAAAAAAAAAACAGCAAATGATTTTCCTGAAGGCTAATGTTCTCTTATTACCGTTTTCAGTTTTGCTTGTTTTTTTTTCTGTTTTATCTCTTAAAAATTAGGGATTTTGTGATTCTCAGGGTCAACAGCTGGGGTAAAGGTTCATCATTATGGAATTGTAGCTCAATGATAATATTTGAGAGTTGTCCAGTTCACTCTAAACCATACACCTCTGATTTATTCTAAGCTCTGAACATAGGTCCAATCACACTTCATTGGAAAATTTCGATTTTCCCTTGTTGAGCTGAATAAAAAGCACATGATTGACTGTTTTGTTGCGAAAAGACCCAGAAGCAAGTATGGCCAAAAACCTGAAATTTTTCTCAGTGAATTGGTTGTTGGAGCTCTGAGCCCTGCTTGTGTGTGCTCCAGGTCACACAGAGAAGATCTACTCGCTGAAGTTCCACCCCCTGGCCTCTGGGATCCTGGCCTCTTCCTCCTACGACTTGACTGTGCGCCTGTGGAATCTGGACTCTGGCAAGGAGGTCAAGCTGCTGAGGGGACATCAGGACCAGGTACTGAGTCATGTGAACCAGCTGCTCGGTCGCCTCTGCATTCGCTCATTGAAGCAGAGCTTTGCCCCGTGCACGTCTCCTGATGCCTCCTTCAGAGTGCATGAAAATCTTTATTGAAAGGAACAAGGTAGATGTTAAAGCACCTCTTTGAAGATCTTAGAAGTTGTCGTCTGTCGTGTGGAGAAATAACACCTGATCCCTCGAGGTGCTCGAGATTCTGATGCTCGAGAAAAGCTACCTTCCTCTTGAGTGAAGGACTGTAGTTTGTTGTGTCACAGTAGTTTTGTGCTGTAGTTGGTGCAAGATAAATGCAAAATATACATGCAGGACATCATTTCCTGTCCTTAACACTCAAAACATTCAGTAGAAGCCTATTTAGCAGCAGCCATGTGGTTACAGACACAGGACACAGTGTTTTTTCCTGCGTTAGAGAATGAGTGAATCTACCCTTTATATACTCTGCCCTCCCCGTCCTCTCTGTCTGCCAGAGCATGGTGCAATTAGCTGCTGCACGAACTGTATAATCTAAAACATACATTGTAAAAGAGTTTTATAAAGAACTTGTGATCAGGACGGGTCCCTTCAGGGACCAGGTAATAATTATTACAGAGGTGTTTGAGGAAAGTGGGTTTGAGATGTGTAACATCACATCCCCTTGTTCACTGAACATGACCTGAGAAATACTCCTGCAGCATTAAGAAGATTGCTCAAGCCCTGAAATATCACAATCGACATGATTATAGAACATTTATATCCAGACCATTGGATTACAAAAACCCACATCACAGACTGGAGTGCTTTCAGGCCCTGAACAGTTAACACACCCTGACTGAAGGCCTGTCCACTCTCAGAGACACGATGCAGAACCAGATCCTGATGAAATACAAGCTCAGATACCACGGCCTGGTCAGTGAAATAGGCCGACACAGGCAGACCTGGTTGTCCAGAGAGAACTGCATTCACTGCAAGACAGGGGAAGTTGAGGCAGAAATGCACTTCCTGTTGCACTGTCCAGAATATAACTGCACCAGTGACTCCTTTTACACCCAATTCTGTCTGAAATGCCTGAAACACAGTAACTCTTATTAGGGCTGGACAAATATAAGCCATATTAATTACAGTGTAGTTGCCTGAGGGACACAGGTGGTTAAATCACACTGACCCCACAGCACAGAGTTGAGACTGAGAGAGGGACACAGCCTGAGGGACACAGGTGGACATATCACACACACCCCACCACACAGGAATTAGATTAATAAAAGGACACAGCCTGAGGGACACAGGTGGACATACAGTATCACACACCCTCCATCACACAGGAATGAGATTAAGAGAGGAGGGAGGGGAGGGTCTGTATTGTTTCTTTGGCAGTTCTGTGATGGATCTGTCATGCTGAGAAAACCTTTGAACTAAATTGATGGGGAACAGCGGCACAATGGGGTTCCAATTGCAGCCCACTGTGGGCACTCCGCTAGCTGACCTCTGACCCCAGTGCAACTAGAACCACATTCCAAGGTAGTGATCTTAAAAGTTAGTACTCAACTCAGGTACATTCTCAACTAAAATGGAGGCATTAACTTCTGGTTGCCCCTGGTCCTTTAATAAAATGCCATGAAGGTTAAGAGCTGGTATCTGAAACTTATTTTCAAGGCTATTAACAACTTTGTGTTGTGATCAAACCATCATACGATTTGCTCAATATTCATAGGTTTTCTGTCAGAATTAAGCGATTCCTGCATGAATATGAGATCTTCCTCCCCTCTATTCCAGATTTTCAGCCTGGCCTGGAGTCCGGATGGTAAGTTCCTGGCCACCGTGTGCAAAGATGGCAAAATGCGCATTTATGACCCCCGCAAGTCCACAGAGCCCACTCAGGTAAGACAGTCTCGTTCACGCTGGCCAAGCTCTGTGCCATTTAAATACCTCACACTCGTGGCATGAGTTCGCATGCTGTACTGCATGACTTTAGCTTGTTTCCGTCCTGTACCATGGACACATTGAGCAATGTCTTGTTGTGTTTCCTGTAGGATCGATTGTACTGTATGAAATGTGACTAAAGGTGATGAAATGCTTTGGACACAAATACCTGTTGTGTAGTATTTACAGAAAATTAATGCAACGTTTAAACTATGTAGAGCAAACCATTGTCTGAAATATGGAAATGTGCATGTAGGACTGAAAGGTTAATTCTATATATACAGTATGTTTGTCCTATGGCTTTCCTAAACACGACATGGTAACCCCAGAAATTGACTGTGCTCAGATGATAAAATCCCCTTGAGCACGATTGAATACAGAACATTACAGGAAGACGCTCGTGGCGGGTGTTCTCCAGAGATGGGCCTTTTTTGTAACAGATTAAAACTCATTTCGAACCCCCCAGAGTGACTCTCTCCCTGCCTCTCTCCTGCAGGAGGGTCCCGGCCCTGAAGGGGCCCGTGGTGCCCGAGTGGTGTGGGCCTGCGCTGGCCAGTACCTGCTGGTGTCTGGATTTGACAGGTAGGGACACCTGTTTTTGAGCTCGGCACCAGATGCGACCCCCTTCGGCTGTACAGCTTAGGCGATTATATAAAATGTCCTGCCTCAGTTCCAGCCTCAGATCAGCCCCCAGCATCTTTCACAAACCCCATGTACAGGTGGTCCAGAGCTCCTGAAGGAACTGCTTGGGCTACTAACATAGCCCCTCTCCCACCACCTGCACACTGTAGTTTAGATCTTCTAAAATCCAGCTAGTTTTACTGGACCACACTGTCTGCCACTTACTCTGTCCTCATCGGTTTCTGTGAGATGCATCGGCATTTTGTGTCTTAAATCGCCACTCCATTGCCGAAAAATGAATGAAAATGAATGTCAAGACCATGCTGCTCATTCTAACAGACAATCATCTATGGTCAGACCTAGAAAAGCTTTTTTCCATGCCTGATTCTTATACTGTAGGTGCCTGACCAGGTACAACAATCACAAGACATCAGATTAAATCTCAGGCTCTCCCTTTCCTAATCTGAGCAGGATGTTCTTTATGTAAATAGTAAGCATAGAGCACTGAAATTCTTAACCCTGTTCTCCTACAGCATAGCTAAGAATGCATACTGAGTGCACAATGGCTGGAAGATTGTTGTATGGGGATGCAAAACTGAATACAATAATTTAGTAAACTGTTTCAGTAAACTGTCTCTTGAATGTGAATGTGAATCATTGTCAAGTGAGGGTCTCAGGTTCTGAATGTTAGAACGTGATTGTGGCGCTGAAGGGCCCACTGTGTCCCTCTTTAGTGTTAGTGGTTCTGATGCAGTTGCTATGGTTACTGTTGCCCGGCAGCCGAAGCGAACGCCAGATCTACCTCTACGCGGTGGAGTCCCTGGCCTCAGGACCGGTGGCTTCCGTGGGCACCGACGTGTCCCCCTCCACCCTCATCCCCTTCTATGACGAAGACACCAGCACGGTCATCCTCACCGGCAAGGTGAGCCCTTTCACCACAGTGTGTGCAAGTGCAAGAGATACAGTCATGTGTGCTTTTTCTGGGCTCAGTCAGGACTGGGCTGAGACCCACTTCTGCTAATGATGCAGATTCCCTTTGTATCGCACACACGGCAGCCTGCTTCTCTATAGGCTTGAGCCAGCTTCCAGAAGATCTCGAGTCCTGCCTGCAGTCGGCTCACACCCACAGGTACAAATAAGTAGGATTCAGGCTCTTTCCCAAATTATGTCAGACACTTACGTAATACATATTAAATTGCTTCCAGACCGTTTGAATCTAAAAAAACTAATTACTATTAAATATACATCAACGTGGTGAAGAACAAGCTAATGCATTACAATGTCGAAAAGGATCCAGACAGTGCAAGAATTATGTGACAATTGAGTTACAGAAACTTGATGTAAAACCTCCGTAAATTAATCCACAACTTGCAATTAGTGTGTTTTTTTTTTTATAGAAGCATATAGATAAGTGGAAACTACTTACAGGCTCATAGTGTGGAGAAAGTCTGGCGTGGAGAGACATGAGGATACGCTCCACGTCCCAGGCTGATGGCGTCGTCATATTGATTGTGTAGATGCTCTGTAGTTAACTTATTTTTCATTAACTCCTATAACGTTTGCTGCTGCAGTCATGCCTGATAGATGGAAGATTTATTCTAAAGGTGGTTTGTGCGATGTTGAAATGACATACAGCAACACTAGAGGAAACAAATATGTTTCATTTTCATATGCGTACAGTATATTCACACCTGAAGAAGGCTCCACAGCCGAAAGGTTGTGTTTTCTTTCTTCTTTTTTCAGCATGGAATAAACCTATTACTTGTATATTCATATGATTATATTAGAAATGCGTTCATGTGATTTAAGCAATGTGTAGAATAGGACAGCAAATGGCTCAAGAATAAGTGTCAAGTGAAGGTCTCAGGTTCTGACTGGTGTCCAGCTTACAGAAACATAGTCTTGCATAACCTGAGTCTGAAATGTTTTTAGGTAAAATGTGTAGAAAACATTATGTTTTAGGAAATACATTGAGACCAAACTGCTATTTCCCATATAAACCACAAACCTATTGAAACTAGCTGATGGAACTAGAAGATAATTTCTTTCTTTTCAGTAATGAATCCTGCATCCCTGTCTGCTCTTTTCCTCTGACCTTGACCAGGGAAAGAGGTGGAATTTCTAAAGGCTGTTGTTTCAGAGTAATTGCCCCTCTCGTGTTACGGACAGATAAACAACCCGGCCCTTTGATGCCTTCATGAATAAATGCGGCTGTGTTTGTTTTCCTCCCCGCAGGGCGACACCCGTGTGTACATCTATGAGATCCTGCAGGAGTCCCCCTATTTCCTAGAGTGTAGCCATTTTAACTCTTCCGAGCCACATAAGGTACCCGATCTTCATTCATCTGTGTACTGCTGGCACTCAAGTGTGTAGAGGCAAAACTGTCAAGTGTAATGCGCCCCCATTTTTGTCCCAAACCACCTCCATGTTCTCTTTAGGACTTTCATTGCAAAAAGGAAGCTTTTGGACTGGTGGGACTTGCGGACTTTTATTGGAGTTCTCGTTTTTGTTGTTATTATTGTTGATATTATTTTGAGGAGTGGGTAGACCTAAGGACTTTTAATTGATCATTATCTAGTGGTTTCCCCTGGTCTTCAGTCGCTGGCAATGATTCAGGAATAGCTCTTGAATCTGTAGTGGTCTTGTAGGGTTCTGCCCTGTCGTCGTCAGTCGCCTGACCAGCTTCCTGTTTCCTGTTTCCAGGGCCTCGTCTTCCTGCCGAAGACGGAGTGTAACGTGCCTGACGTAGAGTTCGCTCGGGCGCTGCGGCTCAGCAAGACCTCTATCGAACCCGTGGCGTTCCGTGTGCCCCGCGTCAAGGTTAGCGCACGCTGTACACGAGATTGTGACTGACATTACTGGGGGTAGGATGTCGTGGCACTTCAATTCACCTCCACTGTAAGACCACTGTAGCCACTTAGTTACCTAATAGAGCCTGCTATGGAAGATCTCTCAAGTAAGGAAGAATCAATTCGAAAAATATTTTTACATTTCAGTGGAATTGAAAAGTCCATGCTTAGGCAGCCTTGATAATATACTCCAACTGATGCATGACACACACATTGCGTGTATAATGTGATTTAACTGCAGCCTAGAAAAGAAAAAAAAATGCTTGATGCATTGATGAGGATTGCCCTGATTAATACAGGGGCGGCACAGTGACACAGTCAGCACTGCTGTCTCACAGCGCTGGGGCCCTGGGTTTGATTCCTGGGGCACTGTCTGTGTGGAGTCTGTATGTTCTCCCTGGGTTTGCATAGGTTTCCTCTGGGTGCTGCAGTTTCCTCCCACAGTCCAAAGGCAGGTTAATTGGCCGATTGTACCCTGTCTTGTGCCCGTTGTTTGCAGAGATTGTGGCTTCCCCGTGACCCTGTATTGAATAAAGCAGTTAAAAAAATTATTAATAACTATTCAAAGGCTTCTTCAATGAGGTTTTTATGTAATTTTGATTATCCTGGATAGGCTGATATGAAGTCATACAGCATGTTTAACATTTTCTGATGGATCAGTGAAATATATACAAAAGCCTACAGACCACAGCACCTGAAATATTGTACAATGCAGTGCTGTGCATTATGAGTCTTATTTCCACCTTGGTACTCTACTCTGTCGGCTTAATTCACCCTATTGTCATCTTTATTTTGAAAATTGCAGTTCAGTGGGCTGATTTGATCCGTGTCTTTCTCTCGGCGCTCCACAGAAAGAGTTCTTCCAGGATGACCTCTTTCCTGATACCGCGGTGTGGTGGGAGTCGGCTCTGGCGGCCTCTGCCTGGCTTTCGGGAGCTAACGGGCAGCACCGCAGAATCAGCCTGCGGCCCAAGGACATGACTCCTGGTAGGACAGCGCGGCCACTGCGCCACTGCTGGAGCAAGAACTCTGTTCCTTTTCGCCCATTAATGTGACGCATCTGGCCGGGCTGTCCGGATGTTGGTGGATGTTTCACAGAAACCATGGCCAAGCGATGTCAGATACCGTGCTCTTTCATTGCGCTCATTTGAAATTGGGGACATTCTTGCACCAGTCAATAACTGCAAAAAAAGCATCTTCCGATGGCTTGAATGTGATGCATTTTCAGCACATTTTTGCAAAGTGCTTGTGATGGCTTGATTTTCTTGTCTTCTCGACATCATGGAATAGGCTAACATGAATCAAGCTACTGCATGTCCGACAAATAATCCCATTTCTGATCAGTCTCTCTGTATTAGACTAAGTCAGGAATCTCCTGTCCTGGTCCTGGAGAGCTGTATGACAAGCAAATGTGATAGAAAATCATTAAATCATTCACTTCTGATGGCTTGAAGCACCTGTAACTGTGATCCATTTCAATGGTCGTTCGTTAAGTATCGGTTAAGTAATGCAGAGAACATTTGGAACAAGGATCTGAGCCCTTCAGCCCTCAAGAATCAGGGTGCACTTTATTGTGTACAGCACATGCTTAATTCATCAGTAACTTACAGGTTGGCCTTTAAGACTTACTGGAATGGGGCTCTCCAGGCTTGGGATTGGCAACCCCAGACGTACACTGTTGGATCAGTTATACGTGACAGCTTCTAGCTTTAATTAAGAAGTAATCGATGTCAAATGTGCATAAAGGGTTTAGCTAATTAAGATGATGCATTTTGTAATCAGGAAGCAAGACTGAATAATCAATATAATGTGATAAGGAAGGACAACCTGGATGCTCGTGGCTAATAATTGTGTTTTGGGTGTGGAACGCTGGAGCTGGAAGCTGGCTCGCGCAGAGCTCTGTGCTGAACACCGGGACTCGTGTGTCTGTCTCTGTAGTGAGCGAGGCCCCCAAGGAGGCACCAGTGCGGAAGTACCTGCCCTCGTCAGTGTACCTCGAGGAGAAGACTGACGAACAGAAGAAGGAGGAGGTAGACTGAGCCGGCCTCCACAGCATCGCGCACACGACTCTGCACAGAGCTCCGACACACACTCTCCACTTCACACACGGCCCTGCACAGAGCTCCGACACACACTCTCCACTTCACACACGGCCCTGCACAGAGCTACGGGCGTCTCTGACACACCCTTGAGAGGCAGTACCCACCCTACAGAGAGATCACTATTCCACTGTTACCAGCTCTCAATGTAGAACTGGGCCCAGCAGTGGCCACTGGTGACCGGGGTCCTGTTTCTGACTGTTTCTTGCTGTGTTGCAGCTGCTCAGCGCCATGGTGGCCAAACTGGGGAACCGGGAGGACCCTCTGCCCCAGGACTCCTACCAGGGCGTGGAAGAGGATGAGTGGGTGAGGCCATGAGGCGCCACACACACTGCACCCACTGACCGCCACCGGACAAACAAAGCACTGCACAGACACACACTCACGGCCCGCAGGCGCGCTCTCGTAGGTACAGGGGCTGTACGGACCCTTTCACGGTGCCCTGGGGGAAAATAATCCGATGTTGTGTTTTGTGTTTCAGGATGACTAAAGGGACCAGATCCTTGGGACCAGTCAGGGTGCCTGTAGCGATAAAAAGCTGCCTGGGAATCGTCGTGCCGTTTCTGAACACATCTCCCTGCCTCTGAACCCCACCCGGCCTGCCATTCCGGACTCTACCCCTCCCACAAGTCCCCCTCCACCCTGCCTCTAACAGTCACTGGCTGCCTGTCTTTAGAGCTGGGGTCCCCTCTGTATCCCCAAAGTTACTGTAAGACCCTGCCTGCTTGTCTTTAGAGTTGGGGTCCCCTCTGTATCCCTATGGTTACTGTGAGATCCTGCCTGCCTGTCTTCAGAGCTGGGGTCCTCTCTATATCCCCACAGTTACCGTAAGACCCTGCCTGCCTGTCTTCAGAGCTTTAAGACCTGCTGTACGACTTGAAAGGCATCAGCACCCAGTCAATCACACACAGAGAGCCCAGTCTAGTCAGCCTGTACCCAGATAGCAGCAGATGCAGGTGCTACATGGCTTGTCACATACTAATCCCACAACTCTTCGGTTCCAAAGGAAAGTATTTTATTGAACTTCTCCAAAGCAGTGAAGTGATCTGAGGGCGTCAAGCGATTCCTTACAGACCATTTACTGCTGACCACCTGGCCGTCTTTAACAACAGGCGTTTTGAAAGGAAATGCTTTTCTCTTGGCACAAATCACTCCTTGAAACTCAACAAAAGAGAGAATTTGTCCTTGGGAATCTCATGATCCTGATCCTCAAACACTCAATTGCGCAATGCACTGTGCAACTAAAGAAGCTGAGAGGCAGAGTGCTTCGCTCTGCGTTTTCTGCATCGACATCTCAAGCTGCACGGTACTGTTTTATAAAGAGGCTTTCCAGTACAATCCAGTATTATTGCTTTTGTCTTTATTTGCAATCTGGATGCCGCCTGGCGCGTGCCGATACTCAGTGTCTGGAGTTGGTACGTTTTGTGATGTAGGTGAGCTCAGATTGGGTGGCAGTTCAACCTCTTCCTTGCTCAAATACACCGCACTCCTACTGGACACAGTATTGCTTTAAATGGAGAAGCCAGGTGTTGATGGCTGTGGCGTAAACATTTGATGCAACACACACATTTAGGGAACACACACCTCTTACTGAGGCTATGCCAGGAACGACTGCTGTCCCCGCCATGCCCTGTCCAGTTCATCTCATCTCACTGGGCCCTGGGGACAAACCAACCCACTTCTTTCTCAGGCTGGGCAGTTTTTATACTCGGAATCAACAAGATGCATCTCTTTTCCTTCTCTCTTTCTGTTCTTTTATGTCTTTTATGTAGTGTTGTAGACAAATAAAACAGAAACTGTAAAACAAAAACTCTGTGTTTGGACTCTCTTTGTTTTGCCTTCACCTGAAATATGCTCGGCAATATTTGAAGTGAGTTCTGGAATTTGGGCTTACCAATGCTGCTGTAGCAATAACTGTATATATATGGTTCTCATCGATGTACAGTATTTGAAAATGAATGGAAGGCATCTTAGTTTCCCTTTTAGATATCTCAATTTGTGTTAGTGGGTGTTTGGCTTTCTTTTGAATGACGAGAATGGGGATTAATTTGTTGTTTTTTTTTCCAAAACATTAACAGCGTTTTAGAGAAAACTTTTCACGTTTACCAGATGGCGATTGCGGTTGACACTATAAAAACAGGTGCCCTGAAGATAACAAAATCTGTTGTCTGATCAATTGTCAAGATACAGTTTGAAAGCAAAAAGAACAATTTTAAGAATAAGGAGACACCTTCAGCATAGTTTATACGGGTACCTACTACTTTAGTCTGAAAAACAGAAAATTAACTTAATCAATTTTTAGCTGTCGTTACAAATTGGGGTCCAATTGTCTCAAAATATTACTGAAAACACGCTCAACGTGTTTATTCTCCTAGTCCTTCAGAAACGACTGTAGTTATAACCACCAGCCACTAGTCGGCAGTGTTCTCCAGCTTTGAGCTGCTTTATCATTTTACTTCTCTTCTCATCTTTGTTGTATCTTGCTGCCCCTTAACCTCTGAACCCCGGGTGACCTTGAATGATTTCTGGACTGGTGGTACATGTGACAGAGGAGTAGGAACTACACTGTAGATTTAAGTATATGTTATGGTGAGTAAATGCTTTTAATGGTTTATAGCTGTTACAGAGAAGTGATAAAGCGGAGGGGATCATTAGCTAATAAGCTGCAGTGTTACACGTGAGGTAGCTCAACATTTCTGACCTGATGCTATACGAAACTAGACTGCCGCATAGCAGTTAAGTAAGATTATATATATTTTTTTGTTGTTGTTGTTGTTGTTCTCGAAGGGGCTTTTGAGTATTATAAAACCCACTGCTTGTCATTCTGAGGACGATATCTCAGTACTGTCTGCTTAATGTCCATTGACCTTGTACTACCAAGGACAGATTTTGTACATTTTTAAAAGGATTAAAAAAAAAACGATTATAATATAGTTAATATATATAATATATAGTAATATGTGTGGGATGACGTATGTTTGTGAATGTTCTGCATTACAGAAAACCTGTTGACCCCGGTTACCTGGAATTTATGGATGTCCTAAAAATGTCTACAGAAATGTTCCGTAGCACAGGCAGACAACTGCAGACAAACACTAGTGTTCCTGCTATCGTTTTGCCTGTGTATGCACCAGAAACCAATGCATCACAGGAGGTCTGGAGATGCCTACCGCTCTGTAGGAACAACAAACTCCCTGCTATCCTGGGAAGAAAAGGCTTTGTCAGACTCCTAAGTGGACAAGCTGGTAGCAGCCAAGCTGAAAAAAAGGGGATGAATGGCTTCTCACTTTCAGCCTTCTCTGTCTTGTCCTGTGCTCTGCAGGCCAGGTACTTGGCTCAGATCATCGTGATGGGAGCACAGGTGGTGGGGAGAGCCTTTGCCCGGGCACTGCGACAGGAATTCGCTGGTGAGTCCCTAATCAGACCCTTCGGCAGAAACGGAGACACCCCTTATAAACCTGTTCAGCATTATGGCAGTCTACAGTATCTCCCCCAGGCCCGTTCTATTGCATATTTTACCGTGTGTCATGTTCCATCATGTAGACACTCGGCTCTATATCTTTTACTGTAGTTGCACTTTGCTTTCTCACGTTGTAACGTGCTTCTATAACGGAGCTCGTCTGTGAGAGAAGAGCTGGTGTTTTTGCAGCATGGAGCCCGTCGCCGGGCCATGAAAAAGTGAAACCTGCAGAGGTGAAAGTTATTTCGCTGCATAACTCGACATCTCCTCAGTTCTTCCCTTTGCCCTTTCTAATTTGGGTGCGTAACTTAATGACGCGGTGAAAATGATGCATGTATTCCTGGGTTCCAAATACAGGGTGTCATGTTGGGAGATAGATGCCTTTTTTAAAAATTAAACAGATGTGAAATTCGAACAGTGTCTGGCCTGATCGCTTGATCGCTTGTCCTAGTTGAAGAGTCTCCCCCCCTCTCCCCTCACGTACTAACCCGAGCTCCGCCTGTGTCTCTGCGTAGCTAGCAGGGCAGCGGCAGAGGCCCGGGGAAGTGCAGGCCAGCAGTCGGCCGCAGCCTCCAGCATCACCGGCATGACGCTACAGGAAGCCCAGCAGATCCTCAACATCTCCAAGCTCTCCCCGGAGGAGATCCAGAAGGTGTGCCCCCTCTCCCACCTTCCCGCACACCTCCAGGCCTCCGAGGCCAGTCGGTCTGCTAGGTCACTTGAAATCGCCAACTGCTGAAAACCTTGAGACGGGACAAACTGGTCCTGTTGAGCACACGATCAGCTCCATTAGGTTAAGAGGTGGAATTTAAGCCTCCGGGAACGGTTTCAAAGAGATTCAAGATTTATTATCCCCTAAGGGAAATTATTTAGCGGCAAATTGTAACCACGCCAATGCAACAAATCTCGCCAACACCGCCCTGATGAACTAACATCCCACCCGCGCTGTATCATTGCTCATGCCAGGACCAAGGGTGCAGGCTCCTTGCTGTTATCTGTATCATTTACAAATGACAATTATCTTTTTTCTAGGAAAGATTCATGAGAATCTTATCGTTTCTGACATGCTCAACTTCAACTTAATGTTTTTTCCCCATTTTCCCCTCAGAACTATGAGCACCTGTTTAAAGTGAATGACAAGGCAGTTGGAGGGTCCTTCTATCTGCAGTCAAAGGTGATTTTTCAGTATTTTGTGGATGCCTTGTTCTGTCTCCTTTATGTTCACACATTTGGGCCCCGTAGTTGTCCCGTCCAGCTCACAGAAGCTTGGGTCTAGATTCTTGGGGAACTGGGTTGTCCATCTCAGTCAGTTTTAAAGAGAAATAGCTTATGCAGGAGAATCTCAGAACCAATTTTGTGTCTTTGTCTCAACACAAGCAGTTCATGGTCTCGGGTAAACTGCTTGATCACAAGGGAATGTACGAGTCATCTACAGTATGCGTTTCAAGTACTGTACAGGGTCTTGCAAAATGGAGAGTGCTGTCACTCTCAAATTCTGTAGATGCGGGTATCCTTGAGCAAGAGATATCAAACCTCTCTGCACAAGGCCAAACTAACAACTAGTGCATTTTGAGCTTGGTGTTGCATCTCGTACAGCATTATCTGCTGTGGTGATACTGGAGTGTCGTGGTCTTTTTCATGTTATTTTTTTGACCTGCGTTGAAACTCTCAGTGAAGCAGGGGCCATGAACGGGGCTGCTGCGTCTGTGTCCACAGGTGGCGCGAGCCAAGGAGCGGCTGGACGAAGAGCTGTCCATCCAGCAGCAGAACAAGAGGAAAGAGCACAGTTCTCAGCAGCAAGACCAGACCTGAGCCCGGAGAACCCTTCACGGCCCCCTTCCTCCTCCACCATCCCCTGTAAATTAAGTCCTCTGTAATAAAGTCCCTTTTCTGTATGGACAGGTGGTGTGGGTGCACTTTGTTGGTATAGCTGGGTTATGTCATCTGCATGCAATGCATTCACTGGTGTGTTGGGGAGAGGGAGAGGAATATTAAAATGATCTGCTCCTCCCAGCAGCATGAAGTTGTCCCCTCACAAGCAGCACACAGGATGAAACTCACCTCCTTGGCTTGTGCTCATTTGTGCTGTTGAAAGTAGCTTTGGTGCTGCTTTTATTGTAAAGGATATAGCACCTTCCTTTTCAGGTAAGTGCCAGACCATCTACAGGAACTTCTGTCAGTACCCTGAAAATTCAAAGCACTAGATTAAAGTTTAGAGGTTAATATCTGCAATTTTGTTTGCCCCTTAACTTGCAGCAGTTGGTTTTGCTTTTCATAGCAGTAAACAAAAACATTAAGTTCCTCTCTGCTCATCATATTTAGTCAATATGAATGTTTCCTGCTTCAGTGAACATAGTAACACTGAGTTCTAGACTGTTGGAATTATGAACTATGTACACACTGTGGCGGACACAATTCCCATCACTATAACAGCTCAAGGCTCTTTAGCAGTTGGGGCAGGTTGCATACACAAATTGAACATGTGGGTTTAGTGTCTCTGTACCTCTGATAAAGGAAATTGGCCTTCCGCAGTTGCAGTCAGCAACCACAGCCGAGGTGGTAATTCACCCAGAAAATCCAGTTTAGTACCTGGGTTGCTGTGGACAGCAACACTGCCAAGCCTGTTGTCCCTTGGTCCTGTCAATAGTTGCAACTGTAGGACACAGTCTCAGGCTATTTAATCTGTGTACTACAGGTGTGAGAACTACATAATGGAATCCTTGGTTAGTCCAAGGTGCAAGATGTCTATTAAGACGTAACTAGTATCCCCAACCTCCCCCTTGACACATTAAGATACTGTAGCAAGTTTTCCTGCAGATGGCAGTGTTTTAAAATTTCAACAACAAAAAAAAAATGCCACTGAAAGCATAGTTATCAATTACTGTCCTCCCACTGATCTTCACAGCACTAAAGCATTGGTGTTGTGGGACCAGTGTCTGATGTCCAAGTAATAGTTTAAAGAAAGTAATGGCAGCATACAAAGACTTCCAGTGAAACCTCCACTTTATTGCACAGACATGATACAGCCATTACAAGATCAGGGTCAAGGTCATGACAGGTCAGAGGATCACCATACACACCAAATAGCTTTGCTGCACATTGGAGTGGCAGATGAAGTCCCATTCCCGTTATAAAGCTTCAGCTGCTAGTCTGTTCCTATCTGATCAACAGGGCTCTTTTTCAGCAGGGGGGAAAGGACAGGTGACATGACCAAGTCCCAACACCACACACACACACTGAACAACATTCCTACCCAGGCTAGTCACACTCTGGACTCCACAGGCTTGGAGCACATGAGCTCCTCGTCTTACCCAGGTCATGAGCCATCATTGAAGGACCTCCACACCAGACTTGAGGATACTGCCATAGGGAAGTTCACTTTAATACAAAGGGACTAGGTAGTTAGACTGATGCATTTATCCAGGGTATCTTTAATCTTCACTCATTTCAAAAGCTGAAACAAGTTCAGCCATGTCCTACCTGGGATCTCAGTGTAGGGATCTCTCCTCACTGGCTGTGCAGCAGGGTCAAGCTGGGTTTCTGGATCCAAGACAGGAACACACTGGGCTCTTTCTGGTATATAGCTTTCATCGAGAGCCTGCAAACCTAGTCCCTCGGAATGGGATTCTTGTGGAATACCATCTTTCCTGCAACAGTGTGCTGCCAAGACAAAAGATTGTTTAATGGAAGGCATTGTACACACCCCTGAAGCCTCAGTTTTGCAGGGGGTTTCAGGTCTGTACTTAAGGCTATACTGCCTTCAGAGGAAGTACAAAAGAGCAGCTAGCTAACCCTTACCTATAGCACATCCTGGAAAGAAATCAAGACATTAAGCTATGGAAAAGCTCAGGTTGTTTTCACATGCAAGACCCTACCCTGAACATCTACCTGTATATTCAGCAATGGTAAATTTAATCCACAACCTCAACTCACCCCATTATAGTTTACCCATGAGCTGGTACACATTCTTTTTGCACATCTCTGTACATGTAGCTCTCCCTACTGGACAGCATCACTCACTGCACTTCCAAGTCTAAAAGATGATCAGCTGGCTTCACTAACAGTGTTCTGGTTGAGTTTTCAAAGCCAGTGACATCTTGCTCTTCTCACAAAACCAATGCCAGTATTTTAGAGCCACAAAAAATATTAACAATACAACTCCCAATAAATAACAATTAAGTTCCTTTTCAGTTCAAATCCCCCTCTAAATGTTGTCCTCCAGGCTTAGCTTTTATAAGCCTCTTCATTAATTACAGGGGCTTGGCTAATTCTGTAGGAACCTATCCCAAAAGCCCTAAAATCCTCATGTGGAGTGGCCAGGTGTGTCTAACTCAATATTGCACACCTGCTTCCTGATCCCTGCCTGCTCAGAAGCCATTTTGGCTCAAAGAAACACCACAGCCTGGGCTTGAGCCAAAATGCAAGATTCTTACAGAAGCCTTCTAGGGACACTATGACATAGTTTTAATACCTTTTCCTTGGACAGTATTAGATGTGTGTTCTTTCTAAACCTTTCAGAACAGCTCAATCTACTTAAACAGATTAACAAAGATAATGAGAAAGATAATGACTTGATTATAGCTTATATATACTTATACATCTACAGATTTGTGATATCTAACCCTTAATATTTCTCTTTCTATGTCAGAGCACTTGTCAATGCCTGCTATGATTGGAATGGTGTTCTCAGTCGATGTATCAAAAAGGAGAAACTCAAATCCCCTACAGCCAGCTTCAGCTGAGAGACTATGCTCTCCACCCGTTTCACTGACACTCAAGGATGAGGGACTGATATGTCATGAGCATTTGCTTATGTTCATCCTCTTTCCTCTTCTCCTGTACTCTGTTAATTCAATGAGATCTCCCTACTTTGGTCTCTAAGTAAAGCAAGTACAGCACAGATAGATCAGGTTATAGAACAGTAAGCGTCCTGCAAAGAACTTCAGACCCCACAGCTCACCTACATATTGCTAAATTCTTTCATTCACATTCCTGTGGCTCTCAAAGACTAATAAGGATTAAATGCACTAACTGTGATTTACTCAGATGGCCATGGGAAAAATGATTTTGAATTTGTAATTCATGGGGGCTTCTGTAAACAGGCTCGATATCTTTAATAAGTTTTCACGTGGAGCCAAGAAAAATAGCTACCTGCACCGTCAGTCTGTAGCCACGCCCACTCGAATGACATCTCTCGCAGGCCACGCCCCGCGCACCTGTGCGCCAGGTTCTGCTGGAGAGAGCGGAGCTGAGTGAGTTTGTTACGCGTCTTTTATGATTATTTTTCATTTTTCCTTCATTTTAATGTAGATAAAAATTAACTCGTGTAATTATGTTGTCTACACCACGCAGGGGAAAGGGGGGTAAAACACGTATTTTCGTTGGGAGCTAAATAACATTTCTAAGTCTTTGTTCACAAAATCAAGCGTGTGCATTTATCCAAACCGAAATAGCTTACCTGGATTTGTAAAGTTTTTTATTATTATTTTCCAGAGCATTTTGTGTGTTTGTGCTCTTATATTCGTGGTAAAAAATTCGCTTGCAAAGAATACTTATTGGTTTCAATGGTCTTACATTCTAAATTCTGCTTTTTTGTGTTTTCTGTTTAGTGTCTTCGGGCAGGACATGCACTTATATAAGTATAAACGCTTTATTCATTTCGTTACACGTATCTCTTGGAAATATTTTCTGCGCTATCTACCCTGGTGAAAACGCCGACTGCTACAGAAACTTTGGTTTAAATCTTTAAATAATCGTCTAAATAATTATGTCTTGTGTTTCCAGTTTGGTGTCTTCGGGCAGGACGAGCTTGGCTCAGCTGCTGGAATTATCGATGTAAGTATAAATGTTTTTATTTATAAAGCGGACATTGTTGTTAGAAAACATGATGTACCTTCTCAAACTCAAAAAACTTCAAACTAGGCGATACTAGATTTCTCCGGGGCAGAAATGGTTTTGACCCGACAACACAGGGCTGCTGTTTAAAGAAATAATTTTCTGTTAAAATTGCTAATATATCTCTTTTTTGGTTTCAAATTTTTAGCTTCCAGATTACATCAGAACAATTAAAACAACGAAAACTATCAAGAAATGGATTAATTATGTGTTAACTAAGTTGTTTCAGAAAACAATTTGCTCATAAATCGTAAAAAAAGCACATTAGAATCTGCGAGTCTTTAATCGATACACTGTAGCTGTATTGCGTATTTAGTATTGAGACTTTAAATTAACCTTTAAATGAAACTACTTCAATACCCTGTTGAACTGGTACATTTTTTGTTACACCACGCTAAGCGCTTTATCCCAACTGTGAGTCTTTTTAAATTGTTTTATCTGCTGAACATATCAGCAAAAACAAAAGCTGGATCTATTTATTTCGACTTAATTGAAAGATTCTGTTTGTTACAAAGTTAATACTGATTTCTGTTTTGCAGAAAATGCAACGAAGTTAGTCTTCATTCCGGCCGCTGCCTCGACAGAAGCCTCGGAGAAACAGTAACGTGATGTGTGTTTCTGTGTTTTTCCTTGCAGTTGCATGCAAAAGTTTTCGTTGACTTGTAAAAGCATTAAGCCTTAATGTAGCCGTGCTTTGACACTTTGTAATTGAAATGCTTGTTAATTTTCACATCGAAGCTTTTGCAACTGACGTATTGTAATGCTTTGTTTTGTATGCCATTTTCGCTCAATAAATTGTTGATTGAACCTTG